GGTGCCGTACGCGAGCGCCGGTTCGAGTCACGAGTTTGATTTGACGTAGTATTTACCTTACCGTTTATTCGGTGATATTTGATTCATAAACAAACATAGTAGTCGATTTTTACGACATTGCCTCATCCCTTATACGGCATTTTGACGTCACAGAAGCGCTTTGTCGCTAGAGGGCGTGACTTTTAAAACAGAGTTTTCTTATCGAACAAACACGGATATGTTTGCTTCCAGAAAAACTTTTTTTTTTCATTTTACGGTAAATCATCCTAATATTGTTTAAATGTGCTCGAAAACATCATTTTCAACTCACCCAGTTTTGGCGAAATTGGTCCAGTATTTCATGACTGCCAGGGACATCTTTACGTCCTCCTCGCTGATTGGATACTTAAACATTGAGGTTTCATCTCCACCGAGTGCCAACTGCTTCTCAGAAAACAGAGGAATCCCAAACACAAGACTGACGTCATCTCCGTGGTTGGCCTTCCATGTCTCGATTGGCCATAACGTGTTTGTCGGCACATGCGTCATTTGATACAAGTACGTCGTGCGAACGCCCTCAACGTGGGACCGCGCCACCGTGTCAGATGGACACACAAACATCCAATCACCGGCCATTTGACTAATAGCGTCCACGTAGTTCGCTTCGTCGTCGTCCGCGTGATCCCAGTCGACGTACAGTAGCTCCAACATGGACAGCACAGCGTCGTTCTTCGCCTCGGGAATAATATGTGGATACATCCCATCATACGTTGTCTTGTTCATTGTTATATCACTCTTATCTTCCGCTTCCGGAAAGAGCCCCACGATGAACACCATTCCCTCGTCCGCCATCGTACCGATCATCAAGTCCACGTCATTGAATGGTCTAGATTTGGCGGTAACCATGGGATCCTCCTTAAGGAAAATCCCGTCCACGTTGGGTAAAAAGGGAAGCATCAAGTCATCCATCCCGGTAACGTTCGCTATAATACCCTAGCAACAGAAGATAACACAGAGGAATTCATTAATCGATTCAGTCACCGATGTTTATTTTTGATACCAACTTCGTATAAATAAAACACTCGTGACGTGGAGAAACTTAAATTGCAATTAGATTGCAACGCAGAATGTCATGAACAGGCTTTATGCAAATTTATAAAACATTCACCCAGGAAGACATTCGCGCTTTGTTCAAACCAGAATACACTGTAACCTTGACATAACAATCACCTTTATAATGAATTTCTTGATATAACGAACACATTGCCTGTCTCTGCTCATAACAAACAAAGTGTTTCCGTATAGTGAACATTTCACTATAAAAAATAATTGTATGTATCTCAAAAAGTTTGTTATAATGAGGTTAGATTGTAC